TTATGTGTCTTGGTGGTTTGCCTGCAAATATGTCTCTGCGCTGCGTGTGTGCAGTGCCTGAAGTGGAGTTGGGGGTGGCTGGGAGCTGCCGTGTGGGTGCTGGAAATCAAACCCCTGGTCCTCTGCAAGAGCAGCTGGTGCTCTCAACCACTGAGCCAGCTCTCCAGCCCCGTGTTTTTAATTTGGGTTTTTTTTTGGGGGGGGGGGGTTGTTTGTTTATTTTTTGAGACAGGGTTTCTCAGTATAGCCTTGGCTATCCTGGAACTTGCTCTGTAGACTAGGCTGGCCTTGGAACTGACAGAGATCCTCCTGCCTTGCCTCCCTAGTGCTGGGATCAAAGGTGTGTTACCACTGGCCGGCCCTGTTTTTTTCTTTTTAAGAAAATAACAATTCTAACTAGAATCTTGTGGAATTGGGATTTCTGTGATCATCTCGTTATAGTGACGATTGTTTTGAGGCTTGCCTGGCTCCTGCACATCGTGCTTGTGTCCTGTCACTGCTTGCTGGCCCTCTGCTGGATAGAGCTGGGGCACCAGCTTGCTTCTGTCTTTGGGGGCTGCTCATCCGCTCTCTAGGAGCCTCACAGGCTGCAGCTGCCGTTGAACACGAAGCACTGGTGCCTGTGAGCTACAGAGAGCTCAGAGTGCCCTTTACAGTCTCCTTCCCCATGGCCCTCAGAAGTTAGCTTTGCTCATGTGCACAGGACTCTGGTCACGGCGAGTGAGAAACAAAGGCTGGATTCATTAGTTACTTTAGGAAACTTTTATTCCATACTGTAAAAGAACGTTTATTAACAAAGACCTCGTTTCAGGCATTGAGGTTCTGATTTTTTCTGGGAACGAAAAGAGAAGTGGTGTTTGGTCCCTGCCCTGTGGTTGGTCCTGCTGAGTGGCAGGATGGGAAGGAACATGGAGGGAGGAGGGAGGAAGGGAAGCATTCTGCAGTCTGAAGAGAAGGCTCTGTACCCGTCAGCCTCTCCTGAGCCTGAGTGCCCAGGTGCTACCTGGCTGCCACCTCAAGGTACAAGGGAGGGACTTTGCCATGTGAGAGACTGCACAGGTGGGTGGCTTCCTAGGGAGTGGAAGGACTTCAGTGTGGCTTCAGTTCCAGGCCCTGCTGTACCACTCAGCTTCAGGAAGACCAAGGTTAGGGCCAGGCGTTGACGCACACCTTTGATCCAGAGGCAAAGGCAGATTTCTTGAGTTCTGCCATGTAGAGAGACCCCAGCCTCAACTGCCCCCGCCCCCCAAAAGAATGCCATGGTGTATTTTAAAAGTGGCTACTTGAGGTGTTGACAAAGAGCCTCCCTCTGCTGTTTCTTGGTAGATTCCTAGTCACTCTCTCTTAAGAGCTGTAGTTTGGGGCCCTGGTGTCCTTAACAGTGATGGGATGTGTCGAGCTGACTTCCAGCTCCTTTTACTACAGTGCTTTCCGAATAGCTGGGAGCAGGGAGTGGCAGTTCTCTCATGGAGTCACTTATTCACTTGTGGCCTCCTGAGGATTGTCCGGGGAGTGATCTGAGCAGGTAGATGAACTTCCCAGGTGCTGGTTGTTCTTGGAGAGACAGCTATTGTGTGACCTGTGAGATCCTGCAACTTGGCGTTTGGGATGCCTCTGAGTGGAGGAGAAGAGGAGGCTGTGTGAACCTGAAAGCACTGTCAGGGCCACGTGCAGCTGCCTTCCTGCCAAGCTGTCCTTACATGACTCACTCGGTTTCTGAAAATGGGATGCTCAGTGCTGTTGGCACTTCCTTCTCCTTCCCTGCAGAGGAGGAGAAGGGCAGGGCTGCCTTGGCCATAAGGAGGACCTTGCAGATGATGATGAGGACCTAAGCGTCATAGTTCCTGCTTCCCTCCATTCCTCTGGGTCTTGGGAGACAGCTGCAGTGCCCTGTCCTCTGAGACACGCTACTCATAACTGAGACTAAAGACCTGTCCTAGGTCTGCACAGTCCTGCCCTGACAGGCTGCTGCTTCCTCCAGCTCCTTCAGTGTGCAGCCCCGATGCGTTCCTGGACCACTGCAGTGTGATGGTCACCCCCTGTCTACCCGTCCTGCCCTGGAGCTGCCTACCATGGCGCCTCCTAACCATACTTCAGATGGATGTGACCTACAGTTTCTCAGAAAGCAAATGTGATGATCCAGGAGAGCTAGGGTGGAATTGAGCCCTCGTGGAAACCCAGGTGGAGAGGTTCTGCTGTGTCTTGAGTTGACCTACAGTCAGATGGGCAAGCCTGTCGGGGTGAGCGGCAGCAACCTTCTCCACCCCTGGCTGTTTTCCAGCATGCTCATGCTTTGGGGCTCTCCCTGGTTGCAGGAGAGTCTAAGCAGCTAATATTTCTTTTCACCATTGTCTCACGTTTCTTCTTTAAATTGATTTTGGTTGTGGTTAACTTAAGATGAGACTTCGCCATAAACCTCCCTCCCCATTCTTAGTTAATCCCTACGGAGGAGTGGCTCCTGCCAGTCTTGTGTGAGACCTGTAGAGGAATGTTAATTCAGAGCATGGCTGTTCTGGCAAGAGATCACATCCAGAGATGTTCTAGGTCTGTGTGATTGGGCTAGAATACAAAGAGCCTGTAATCCAGGAGACAGGGGCAAGCAGATCTGAGTTCAAGGCCAGCCTGGTATGGAGTAAGTTTCAGGTAAAGAAAAGCTTAGATCCAAACATGGTGGATGATGGCATTACATGCCTTTAATCCCAAACATTGAAGGTAAAGGTAGTTTGTAGAAGGAAGTACTTATGTTTGAAAGTGATGTCTAATTGAGTGGGGAAAAGTTGATGGATCAGAGAAAGACTAGATAGAATAGAGTAAGCCCAACTCTCAGAAGAAGAGAGAGGAAAGACAAGCTACTTAAGGGGCAGTGAGAAAGAGGAGACAGTTTTTACTGGGACAGTAATAGAGAGACAGGTTGCAGAGAGAGAACTGAGGTGAAGACTGAAAGAGCCAGAGAGTGAGAAGGAGCCACAAGATTAGAGCAGATTGCTTGAGTTAGTTTGAGGCCAAAGAGAGCAATTCAGAGGCCGAGGGAAAAGCCAGATTGAATAAGTCATCTGGGAGAGCCAGATCAGCTGAGTTAAACCAGCCAGCTTGAAGCTCAGGAAGAAAAAGAAAGCTTATTAAGCAGAAAGTCTCAGAGGCTGAAAATGTTCTAGGCCTAGGTTAGATTGTACAAAGGCTAGAAGCTTCAGGACAAGGCCTAGGTCGGCAGACGGAGGCTTGTAAGCCTCCCGGAGAGCAGTTCCCTCAGTAACTGTTAGCCGCAGTACCTTCTTCACAGAGGGAGCCGAGGACAGAGCGAGTGAGTTAGCTAGGTGCAACCTGTGGACTTCATAAATTACGTAGTGAGTCTTTTTTTCCCCGTTGATTTTTGTTTTGAGATCATTGTTGATTCGTAGTGTATTAACATAATTCAAAATAATACTGTGGTGAGCTTCCATAGCCCTTCAAACCCATTTCCACAGTGTAATGCAGAAATACGTGTCATCTGGGGCAGGGCGCCAGCCGCTCCCACCCGCGCCAGTGTGTCGATCTTACAGCCATGCCTTCCTTCCCTCTTCCTAAACCCTCACCACCCCTAGTTTTCAGTTTCTTTAATTTTTGTCTTTTCGTGACTGGTATATAAAGTTCAAGGTCAACGTTAGCTACATAGTGAGTCTGAGGCCAACCTGGGATACACGAGACCCCATCTCAAAGCAAAACAAAACAGAGGAAAAGGGGATTCCTGTGGGTATGACTGTTGGGGCTGAGGACACTCCATGTGCAAAGGGAAGCCGCTCCTTTTCATGTGTGTGCACTCCCTGAAGGACATGGAGTTGCCCTGTGAGCTTGCCTATGTATGTCGAGCAGGGCCGCTGCGGGCTGGCTGGTGGCTTCGTGGTCAGGGTTCAGTTTTGAGAATCGTGCCTGCTTTCCAGGGAGTTGTGTTGGTCCACAGTCCTGCCAGCAGTTTCGGGAGCGTTTCCCCATCTTCCCTGGCTTTTAGTGTTCGCTGCGCGTTGTTCCTGGTGGTGCACAGTTGCGCTTGTGCGGTTCAGTTGTGTCTCCCACCCGCTGGTCTCCCTGCGCATTTCTAGGTGGAGCTATGTGCCGCGTGCCCAGGCGTCTTGGGAAGATGTTTGTTCCTGTCTTTACCCTCTTTTGAGACGTTGGTCTCACTCTTCAGCACAATCTGGACTTGAACCCATAATCCTCCTGCCTCCACCTTTTAATTTTGGCTTGCAGACATGCCTAGCATTTGTTCATATTATGATTAGATTTTAATTATTAGTGTGGGGGGGTTTGCTTTGTTTTAGATCATGGTAAATAACAACAATAACAACAAAAAGAACATCCTAATTTTTTTCTTCCATTTCTACATTAGTCAAAAATGGTCTAGGCAGGGACTGGAGAGATGGCTCAGAGGTTAAAGAGCACTGGCTGCTCCTCCAGAGGTACTGAATTCAGTTCCCAGCAACCACACAGTGGCTCACAACCGTCTATAATGAGATCTGGTGCCCTCTTCTGGCATGCAGGTGTACAGACAGACAGACAGACATTATATTTATAATAAATAAATATTTTTTTATATGGTCTAGGTGGAACCCGAAGTACAGCTCAGTTGAACAGGTGCTTAATATGTACACAGCCCTGGGTCCATCCTTTCCCCAGAAGGGAAGAGGGAGCCATGAGCTGGGTATGCCCACTGCTCTGTCTCCCTGCACTGAGGATCTGGCCTCTACTTTGGTCGAGGGAATCCTTCCTCTTTGTTGGTTTCAAAGTCATGGTAGCTATGTTGGGTTTTTTGCCTTTCCATACATATTTGAAAAATCTTCTTTCATTTAGCCACAGCAGAAGCTTGCCAGGGTTTGGCACTGCCCTGAGCATGCATGCCTACGGAATTGCCATCCTTACTAGATCAAAGCTTCCAGTCCAGGAACGGGGGTCTTCCCCACTCCTGTAAGATCAGCCACAGCAGTGACAGGTGCCATCTCCTTTTTGTCACTGTCCTTCATCCACAGGCCTATGAAAGGAGGTTCCCTACATGTCCTTTGATTCCAATGTTCGTGGACAGTGACACCGTGAGCGAATTTAAGAGTGAGGATGGGGCTATTCATGTCATCGAGAGGCGCTGCAAGCTGGACATAGACGCTCCCCGGCTGTTGAAGAAGGTAGCTGGCGGGGGCCCCCAGGCTGTGCGGTGGCTCAGCCCATGCTGCGCTCGGGTTGAGAGTGCTTTCCCTCCTTGCTCCCCTTCACAGATTGCGGGAGTCGACTACGTTTATTTCGTCCAGAAGAACTCCCTGAACTCTCGAGAGCGCACTTTGCACATCGAGGCGCACAACGAGACCTTCTCTAACCGCGTCATCATCCGCGAACACTGCTGCTACACAGTGAGTAATAACAGTCAGTGCCAGCTCGCCGGGACCCCTGGCCGCGTGACCTTACCGGCTCAGTTGCAGCTAGCTGGGGCTCCTGGGCCAAGTGCGGCCTGTTAAGAAAGGCAGCTCTGCTGTGCCAGCTGCTGCTTCTCCTTGTGGATGAGTGGCGCAGTGGGGGGGGGGGGGGGAGCCTTGACAAGAGGATTCTGTTACTGTGACAGGCCAGGCTGCCACCTGACACCCTGACTGTTCTTGTCTCACCGCTCACTGTCTTGGAGTTTGACGTGTAGACCAGGCTAGCCTTAAGTTGCTGCCATCTTCTTGCCTTGCTTCCCAGGTGCTGCATTACAGTTGTATACCATTAGACTCAGCTCCTCATCAGTTTGTTCTGTGTTTTGAAACAGGCTATCATTGTAAAGCCCTGGCTGGTCTGAATTCAGCTATGTAGAGTAGGCTGGAACTTACAGAGGTCCATCTGCCTCTGCCTCCCAGTTGTTCAGACTAAAGGCGTGTAGTACCAAGGCCAGCTTCCTGATTGTCTTTCTGGTGCAACCCCGACACTGTGTGTTTTTAGCCAAGGCTTGTGTGTGTTTACAGGTAGAGCTCTGAGCATCTGTCCATTTTGGTTTTCACTGCACACACCTGTTTCAGGAGCTCTCCCAGAGCATGAGAACTACCCCCTCCTGTGTACCCCAGCTGTTTGCCTCCTACGACGTCCTCCACATAGAAGCCAAATGACCCATTGAACAGTGTCACCTGTGGTTCCTAGGTTCAAGCCCACGCCTCCCTTTAGAGGTGCCCACAGTCCTCACGGTTCCCTATTTGTGCCCTGCCTTCCTGCTACTTGCTGGGCCCTGCAGCCAGCCATGCCGTTTCTCTAGCTGGGCAACCCTGCTCAGCCTTTCTCCAGAGCGCACTACCTCCTAAGTAGCCGTGTGGCTTTCTTGCTTTGCATATCTGTGGCTCATGTGTCTCTCAGGAAGCCCGAGCAGTATAGTGTGTAGCTCTTTCTCTGTCTGTGTAGAGCCGCCACAGGTGCTCGTGAGTGGATAAGGGGCTGGAGTAAAAAGCTCTGTTCGTCACTTAGCGAAAGTCATGTGATTGCAGTTGAAGCCTTTGAGTGTCGGCTGTGTAATTTTTGCCCTGCTTTCCTCCTTCCTCATGACTGTGATGTCATTAAACATGCTTCTTCCGGGTACTGGTCAGCTGGCCAGGGAACAGACAGGTTATGGCTTCAGTGTGAGCATGGTGGGAACAGATTCTCTCTGCCCACAGGTTCACCCTGAGAATGAGGACTGGACCTGTTTCGAACAGTCTGCAAGTTTAGATATCAAATCATTCTTCGGTTTTGAAAGTACAGTGGAAAAAATTGCCATGAAGCATTACACAAGCAACATTAAAAAAGTGAGTGTCTTTCATGGGCCTGTGTGGGAAGGGAGGTGGGAGCCCTGAAAGGAGTCCCACAGCTGCTTGCCTTTTTATTGTTTACTTTTTGAGACAAAATTTCCATATTCACTCAAATCCATAATCCTCCTGCTTCAGCCTCCCAAGTATTAGGGTGTGTGCCACAATACCCAGTGAAAATTAGTTCTTGAGTGGGGACTGGGAATTGAACTCGGGGCCTTGCATATTAACCTAGAATTCTACACAGAGCTGTATCCACAGCCCCCAAATTCCTATTTGGGTAAATCTTGTAAGCTGATGAGCGCAGTCTGGGTGTTGAACACACGCTCACCTTACCTTACAGGGGAAAGAAATCATTGAATACTACCTGCGGCAGCTGGAGGAGGAAGGCATCACCTTCGTGCCCCGATGGACCCCGCCGTGTCTGGGACCCTCGTCAGAAGCATCATCGACAAGCAAGAATCAAGCCACATCCACAGCTGTCCTTGTTCCGGACACTGCTGCTACCAAGGAGGGCCTGAGTGGGGAGAGTCTCAGTGGCCCTGGCACAGCGTCTGAGCCTGTGGTGGGAACCCCTGACGGTGAGCCCAGCACGGCTGGGGGGGACCCACGGGGCCTGTCCCCTCTCCTCGGTTCTGGCCAGTTGTGTCTCCTCATGACAGTTGATCCGTCTGCTTCCGGCTTTGTTTCCTGAGCCTCCCACTTAGAGAACACATTCATTTATTCTTTTTCTTTAAGTAGAAGTTATTTCTAGTTATCCATTCATGAGACCAGAAGATGTTTCCCACGTGTTTTGATTGATGGCACCTTGCGTGGCTGTAAGTCCTGCCGACGGCTTTTTGATCACACGGGGCCTGTGCTGCTTATGTATAGCTCCCACGCGCAGCAGTTTCACTCCTTTAACGACGGCTGCCTTCAGGTTCGAAATACCTCCAGTTCATGTTTGGGTTCACTGAGGCACGGAGCAGTCGAGCAACTTGACAGTGGTCACACAGCTAGTGAGCGGCAGAGTTGGGAGTGCCTTTACACTGGCTAGACCCAGAGTTTGTGTGCGTGCAGTTTTCCATATGCTAAGTACATACACGAAGCACAAGTTTTTAATTTTTAGTTACAAAACGTGTAAAAAACATGGAGAAAACGAGAAAACATAAGAAGGTTCTCCCACTGAGAAACAGTGTTAAACTAATATATTTATCTTTCCTTCGTTCTCTGGCCTTTGGCAGTCACTGGCGAAAGGGCTGGGGCAGCATTCTTGAGCTCAGGCCCGGTGCTGAAGCGAAAGGTGTGCTGTGTCTGCTAAGCGATTAGCCCGTCCTGAGCGGTACTGAAATTACAGGCGGAGGACTGGAAGGAGGCACAGCCTCCTGTGTTTATCGGGGTTCTCATCTTAAACACTGCTTACTTACCTGTGGTTATCAGCGATCCTCCCTAAAGACTGCTGAAGCCACCCAGGGAGGCTGCCAACTCTGCTCCCCCTCTCCCCTCCAGCACACCCTGCCCACACCATCCCTGACAGAAGGGCTCAGCGTCCTCGGCGGTAAATAACGCCTGCACCTTAACTTCCAGACAAGCTAGATGCTGACTACATCAAGAGATACTTGGGTGACCTGACTCCCCTCCAGGAGAGCTGCCTCATCAGACTGCGCCAGTGGCTCCAGGAAACACACAAGGGCAAAGTGAGTGTGGGCTCCTCCGTCAGCGCTACAGACCGTGGGTCTCCAGTCTCACCCGAAGCTGCCTCTGCACCCGCCCCTCCCACCCGGAAGCCATGAGTGTGTCCGCCCTGACTACCCTCCTGTCAGGGCTGAGGTGCCATCTACACAGGAGTAGCTTCCTGCGCTCCAGGGAACAGTCTAGCCCAGAAACCATGAAAGGCCAAGCCGCAGCGCAGAGCATCTGCCCGGCGAGAGGAGCGGGAGGCGGATTGGAGTGTTAAGTGCTGTCCCTAGTATACAGAGATCCACTCTTTTGTGAGGTTTTTATGCACATAGGGCATTAGCTTTGTTACTTAGAAGAGTGTCATTCCCTGTCACAGTGAAGCTTTGGTTCTGAGATTGGGGGAGATCTATCCAGCCCCACAGGCGTGACATTTACAGAAACAGGCTGGTAGGTCAGGCCAGCTGTGGACAGTGTCAGATAAAGAGACCTGGGCATCACTGGCTGGCCTGGTCCACAGGCTTGCTTGCCTGGGTTTATGGGCACACAGAGGCAGCCATTAGGAAAGCAGCCTCAGTGGAGTGGCCGTCTATGTGGCAGCGGAAGTGGGTGCTTTCAGCTCCTTCAGTCCTCACAGCCCTTCAGGTGAGTGTGGGGTGGAAAAGGAGGTGGAAGGGTCAGGCAGACAGCTGAGGTCTTGGGGCTGGAGTGTGATGAAGTAGGATTGCCACTCAGACCGCCTGGTTCTAGCACCAGTAGATCCATCCCCTCACCTCCCTCTTATTTTAAAAGAAATGTAGGTAACCAGTTGATTAGGGTGAGAGTTTATTTTTATTTAGGTATTTAAATGTTTTACTTATTTAATGTGTGTGTTTTCCTTGTGTGTATGTCTGTGTTCCATGTGCATGCAGAGGCCAGAAGAGGGCATCACATTCCCCAAGACTGGAGTTTCAGGGGGCTGTGAGCCGCCCTGTGAGAGGGGGAATTGAACTTGGGTCCTCTAACAGCACAGCTGGTGCCCCTAACTGCTGAGCTGTCTCTTCAGCTCCTTCTTTATTTTTTGGGAGAGTCTTGTTCTAGCTGCAAACTTAAAAAGAAATTTTTAAAGTATTTTATGTTTATGGATGTTTTGCTTACATGTATATCTACATAGCACATTTAACTACTGATCTGCCACTCCAGCCCCAAATAGTAAAAACCTCTTAATCCTTTTGTGTCAGCCACCCAAGTGCTGGGACTATGTTTTTCAAGACAGGGTTTCTCTGTATAGCTTTGGCTGTTCTGGACTCACTTTGTAGACCAGGCTGGCCTCGAACTCACAGAGATCCACCTGCCTCTGCCTCCCTAAGTGCTGGGATTACCGCGCCCAGCGTTATCACCCACATTCTTAATCACTTTTGTGTAACTTTGATACTTTTCAAATGGTTGCTGCCACATCATCTACTGGCTTTGTTGGGAACGGTCCTGCAAGGCTATTGCCCCCACTCTGGGAGAAACAGGCTGGTAGGTCAGGAGAGCTCCTGCTCTCCTGATGGCCCCACTGCCCTCCTTCATGGCTGAATAGCCGTGAGGGAGGTTCCTGGCCCAGAGCAGGCTGGGATCACAGCCCCGGCTGGTTCTTTATTCAGCAAGCATCCTATGGACTGACAGTAGTGAGCATTCTAGAGTGGCAGCACCGCCATCCTGTCCACACCAGCATCTGAAGTGTGCCGTGTACCGAAAAGGGATCTTCTTCAGTTCACACGGAGGCCAGAGTGTAGGCCTGAGGCTGGCCGGTTCCGAAGTCTGTTACAGCCAGGTGTGGTGGCATCGCCTGGCTTCAGTCAAGGCAGAGGCAGGCAGTTTCCATAGTGAGTTCCATTGGAGCGTCATAGAGAGACCCTGTCTCAGAAAACAAGCAAACAGACAAAAAAGGTCAGTTTGCCTCCACTTTGCTTTGCTGAGCAGAAAACGGCAGTCAGGATTGTCATTCCAGTACTGCTGCGTTTTAACTCTGTGAATGTATTCTTCAGATTAATTGTAGCTTTATTAAAATGGCCCCTGGGGTGACTCTTCTGGCAGCTTTGTGTGTGTGTGTGTGTGTGTGTGTGTGTGTGTGTGTGTGTGTGTGT